GGTTTTTTGCTTCTACTCATTTCTGGAAAACCACCACGGTGGTGAGTGTGATTGCTCTGGTTGACCACTACCCCATGTACTGAACAGTCGCTTTGTGAGTGAAAACAAGTGAAAGTTGCTGAAATCGCATCCGTATTTTCAGAAAAAGCCCAGAAGTTGCTAATGTCGCAACTCAAAATGAGCGAGAACTTGTCCATAATGATGCCAAAAGCAACCAAAAATGGAGCGGAAATAGACACCACTCACTGTGTTGCAGCACAATTGCCTGAGATAGGAAAAATGAACAGACTTGGAATGAGTTATAGATAATTGTCCTTTTTGTTGAACCTTCGCACACATGACATAGCGTAACTTGTACAGTACGACGGACCGGGCGCAGAAGACACTTCGCCAAAAAACACAATAATATTATTATTGTAGGCTGGAAAATAGGCAAATTCAGGCTAGATTTGCAGATTTTTAAAAGAGCCCATGTACCGTTTTCTACATGTTTTCCACGTGGCGTGATCGCATCGTATGGTGCTCTCCATGATCGTGGAATAAGAGCAAAATGACCAACACCGTTCTACATGGTAGAGCGATGCTAGGCTATGCCTTGAGACCCCGGGTTCTCATGGTTCTTCGGCGCCGGAATCGGCGCCCGATCTTACTGTACTTCTCGAAGTACACTTGTCATGATGATTTGATGGACTGTTTTAACACTTCTTGTTGAAGCGGAGCATCACGGACACTTCATTGGTCTCCTCCAGGGCACGTCTGTGCACACAGTTGTGGAAAAGTTGCGAAGTAGTTTGTGAAAATGAAGAAAGTTGCGAAAGTTGTGATTTCTTCCAAAACAACAAAAAGTTGGGAAAAAGGAGGCGAGCATCTTTGGGAAAGGGCTATTAGCAGGGACCAATGACCTGGTACATTGAGAGGAAAACTGACGACCTGGCTGAAAGACGTCAGCCAGATGCACACTAGTAATGCGGTCACGATTGAAAGTCTTGGGCTGTAAAACCGTTGGAGTGAGTCAATGCCATTACTCCTGCACAATGCAAAGATTAGAAATAGGGCTTTCATTTGACCCGACGAGACCACACGACGCTTGCAGATCACAGCACAGCACGAACAGTTCACCAGCCACACTCCACGAAAGCAATTCAACAACTGCTTCTCCTCTGATGAGTTCCCCGTTATTATCTCTATGGAACGAAACAAGACTTGTCAGGAGCACTACTACTTGCTTTCGTGGAGTGTGGCTGGTGAACTGTTCGTGCTGTGCTGTGATCTGCACGCGTCGTGTGGTCTCGTTGGGTCAAATGAAAAACCTATTACTACTATTTGACGGACCTATTGAAGATGGCAACAAAGAATTAATGCCAAGATTGTACAATGCTGTTGCCCTTATCCCCGAACTGGATCCAAATCAGGGTACGTAGATGACCCGACTCAGAAGGTTGTGTCGGGCACACGTGTTCATGTACCCGACTGAGCCCAATCATAGAACAGCTCGATCTGGTCTTTATCATTATAATGTATGCTTGTCTCATACTTGTATGATTGTGCGTAACCATAGAGTGATACCAGGGTATGAGGTTTTTAAAAGTTGTTTTTAACTGAAGACATAACCAACTGGTAATAGGAGGGGAGAGAAGTAGCAGGACAACATAGCAATTAGAAGATTAGGGACTAGGAACCTGCACCATGAGAGCTTATAGGAAAAGAAGACGAGACGAAATGGAGAACATGTTCGTTTGGTTTATTAGAATTGGCACAATAAACGGGAACTAGGTGCATTGATATAAAGGCGAATGGATCAGCCGCATTTAGAAAAGAGAGGACAGGAATTAGACAATTACGAAAGAAAAAGTATCTGACAGAGGAGTCAAGCGAGTATCAGTGGTGACAGGGTGGTCGAGGAGAGTTAGGGGCGGGCTAGTCTGACCAACAATATGGCAGGCAACTTATGCTAAACTTTTTTGTCTTGCTATGGTCCGAGCATCATCCGGCAGCAGGTTCCAGAGTGCAGATCCTTCGACGGACGGCCGAGAAGCGCCAGAGCGAGTGGAGGATGGCTGACTGAGCACTGTGTTATGCCACGGTTGCGAAAAGCATAAGTTGCGAAAAATTATGGCATCTTTGGGAAAGGGCTAGAACTCGCAGGGTTGGTGCTAGGTGTGCAAGAGAGGTGCATGGTGTAAGCATAAAGTGGGGAGTGCAAGGTGTAGAATTGAAGTAATCATGTGACAAACAGGAATTTTGGGACGGGTTGTGCCTCAGTTACGGGTGGACACTTCTTACATGTACATATCCAGTGTATTATCAACACCACGATCATTGTATAAGTCAGAATGCCTGTCATACATGTGTAGTTCACTGAGAAACCCAAGGTACGGGACGTAACCATGGTAATGAAGAATACTCGAGAGCGGAGGCGACGGAGGTGTGAACCACGAAGGGGTCTTGTCCAGGAAATCGACCATTGTCGATCAAGCGTCATTTTTCGGGCAGTGCTGAAGTTGTCGCGAGTGGTATACTGGCGATGTATTCTCTATTTTGTCACGTGGTTTGGCTATGTTACATCTATTCTTGCCCTGCTACATGTAGAAGCTTTGTACAAGTCATGTAGATCTACCAGGGAGTCGTGTATATACTGTCGTGCACTTGGAAATCCGGTCGCACGTCTAGCGGCCCCAGGGTGCTGGCCATTCAGCCGTAGCATGCACTGCTGCTGGTCGCATCGGATCAACATCTGCACTTTGCGGCTGCCTCCAACACGCTGGCAGTGGGCGCTTTTGCGGCTCTTTTCTGCCGGCGATCACACATGCAAAGGCTTTGGTACGCACGCAGCTTCACGGGTCTCCACAGGTGTCGTAAAACTTTTCTCTGAAAAAGACTGTAGCCTCAAAATTCCTTTCCTGCGCTGGTATGGATCGCAGAAACGCCCAGAATCGCCGACTACGTCGTGACCAGCGACTGCGGAGAGCTATGGAGATTGCCTCAATATTCATGTTGTTCAATTTCTCTTCGTTTGAATCTTGCGGAAGCTCCTTGAGCATCGGTGGACGCCTGAGTCGAGTCCCATGTCGGATGGTTGACCTCGAAATAGAGGGAGAGGAGCAGTTGCTCTTGGTCAGCAGTCCACTTCATGACGAGAGATGAAAAACTAATTTTTCCAAGATCCAAGAGATCCAACAACGACAACGCCGCAAAAGTTGCACTACCGCTTTTGTGTTTCGCCACCAATTTTTTGGTTGTGGCGCTTTTGAGATTGCCGCCGTGGCGCCAGTGGCGCCAGGCGCAGTATCCATGGTGATCCGGGGATATCCCAACTTTTGTGGTGCAGCTTTGGTGGTGTCGCAAAAGCGCCATGCATGTGTGACCGGCGCCCATAGTCTGTTTCAAAAAGATTTACAATCAGGTTTGGGTCTTAAAAAGTATGAAGATAAGTGAAATTTGGACAACAAAGTACATAGAATGGCTTGTTAGGACACGGCAAATTGTTCTGTGAAGGTTTCGGAACAATTGGACCAACCGTTAAGGAGTTAGAATTTCGGCCAGGTTTCCGGCCTTTTCCCATGGTTTACAATTTGCCCAGGAAGCCAGTATCGATTTTTTATCTAAACCCACGATTTATCCTTTCCTTTTTGGCTTTGTGGTTATGAATGCTGTCTAGGCCTTGACAGATTATGCTAATATTTTCGTGAAATTATGCTTTTGGCATTGCTGAAAAAATTGCAGAATTATGCTATTTTTATGCTATAAGTTATCATATTATGCCGCATTATGCTCACATATGCTGCTAATGTATAATGGTTCTGTGCAAAATAACAGGGGAATTGTTTTGTAGAGGGTGTTGTACTGTAGTAGCAAAAGTTCAACGGGGTCAACGCACCGTCCGACCTAGCTACGACCGTCATTGATTGTAGTGGACTGGACATGTTATCAAGGGAGTCGTAAACCTACGACTTCCTGGTGCATCTACTTGTACTTGTACTTGTAGAATATGTACAACTGTGTGGAATTTGATGCGAACAGGCAAGTTATTCCAATTTTATGCAATTCGTATGCAATTTGCCTCGAATTATGCGATTATTCGATTTTGGTAGGAATTATGCGAAAAATTATGCTAGCATAATCTGTCAAGGCCTAATGCTGTCTGCTGACCATGTAGTTGTGAGTTCAAATCCCAACCTATCCTCAAGTCAAACTTTTTTTTCATTGTTTTGGTGATCAAGCTGGTACAAGACAAAGAAGGTGGCTGCACCAAACGACTTGTTGTTGGAGCTCGCGCTTCCTGCCGAACTGACTGACACTTGACTGGCTCACGCCATGTGAACACACCCACAACACTGCAATGGTGTGAGTGAATTATAATGGAAGTCATCGCGCTGTATTTATTTTAGTATTTCAAGATCGCCAATTTATTTGAATTTAGCAGTCAACGCCGTCTTCTATCAGAGTTCACAAGCGTTTGCTTTTCTCGTCGAAGTCACACGGATAGCTTTGCCAAGTCATGGCCTTGGGAATGAGTCCGTGTCGATGTTGTTTTCGTCACACGGTGAGTAAATTGCATCGCAGCTCAAAGAAACTATTTTGGTCACAAAACGAATTGGGACCTATGCCGCTCGTCAACATTTACAACACTTTCGTTTCGACGTGTCCTCTCTGACTCCATTATCGATACGAGGAAGAACTCGTTTGTTGTAAACCAGACGTCCATGGCTGTGTCAACGCGAGTGAGTTGTCATTTTTCTTGCTTTCGCGCGGAATATTTCTTCGAGTTCACAGTGAGTTTTTCCAGGCAGCGCTCGAGTGCTCATACGGTAAGACGCCAAACTCCGCGGGCGATCGCCAGGATTGTAAATCTTTTTGAAACGGACTGTAAACAGCTGTTTGGCAGCACAGTATCCGTGGCGAGGGTGTGAAATAAAATTCTTTGACCTCTTGATGTTATTTTTACAACGTTTTTTTGTCACCCAGTAGTTTGCATACTGTGACTCTTCACCTAGACTTCTTTCTTCGTGTCACTTCTACACTTTATTGAAGTGTTGAATCTTTCAACTGTTTTTCTTTATAGTTGTGACACTCCTGATTGTATTCTTATATTTTGTTATTGATGTGTACAATGTCCGCTTTGCTGCTGCTTCGCGAACGTAACTCGTTGGTTTGACCCAGGCCTCGCTAGTTGCCAATGTGCTGAATAGATAGCTTCCGCGCAGCAAAAACAACGTCTGCCTCCGACCGGAACGGCACCAGTCGTCGAGTCGTGGGCCACGAGTACCCTTCACAACGGTGCGTCACCTATTCTTCTTTTCGTTGCAGGACACCAGCATTCACTCTCCTGTAATAGTGTGAATCAGGACTAGCTTGTCGTTGCGTGGGCTCTATCCGTATCTCCCCACCCATATCTTGCTGCTGTTCTCTGGACAAGCCAGTCACCTCGTTTGTTTTGGCTACCATTGTGTTCGAACTCTTGGAAAAAGTATAGCCAAGTAAGTTCCAGAGACTCGGTGGGCTGTTTGACACTGCCCTAGTTGTCACCAACTCTCTGTCCAAAATGTCTTCCTCCTCGAACACGTCAGAAGAAGAAGGAAATCAACGGACGATGGGAACTGAGCCACCCAAGAATACGCCTCCGTATATTCCGGTGGCGGATTCCAAAGACCAACGACCGACGCTTACTGGACAGGGTAAGCGATGGAAGTTGAATGTTTTGCAACCTGTATGCTCGGTACATAATGTCTTGGTAATATTTGTTCCCGACCTGGGATACGGGGCCATCCAAAATTATCTACTTCCTCCGCGTCATCGAAATTGTCGCAGTTTGACTTTTGATATAAAAGTTTAAACGGGGTATTCACTCACCAGCACTCGTACCAGAGGCAAGGAATCGGACATAGGCGATAATCATCAGTATAGGGTGACGGCAAAGTTTTATTTTCTGTTATTGTAAGCTGAAATATTTGAACTAGACGCAATTTCTTCGCTGATGTCGCTGCGATGGTAATTTCGACTCGCTGAAATCAGTCAGGCGTTGCAGCCTGCACCTTTCTCGTGCTTATGGCCATTCACTCAAGCCTCATCACTGGTTTACCTTAGCTGGAGTGAGAATGACTTCGTGGAACTAGTGGCAGCGCTTGGAGAAACATCGAAGGGTCAGCAAACTAAATGCCTGCAACAGCGACAAAAATTGTCGCTCTTGCTGAGACACTCAGTACATGATTGTACCTGCAAGAGCCGTGTGGACTCTACACGTAGTGCTAGTGATGCAGGCGCAGGTGCCGTACCATGGTATACCACGTATACCAGTGATGCTGAAAAAGAGGGCGCGCTGGACGTGATAGTACACTTACCTGCATGAGCTGTGACCACACAGCAAAAATATATGGACATGCCACGGCTAAAAAAAGTTCATTTCAAGATCGAGGTGATTCCGCCGACGGTAATCAACCGACCTCGCAACGATCGTGTATTCTTACTAGGCTTCGTTGGTGGTGAAGTAGAAATCATCCAGAGCTAGCAGACGACAAGCATAGCAGCTCTTCTCCTGTGGAGAAAGTCAAAGCGTTTGAGATGAGGCGCAACTAACTTTCAACCTTCCTTGAAATATTTCGGAACGATATTTTTGCGTCCATTGACATCAGCGACGACGAGGACTTCATCTCTGCATGAAAACTCTCAGTCCAACTGTCCTGGAACGTTACTCTAGTGTTCAGACTATCATACTGTGTAATAAGTTTCGAATGGCTTAGCTTATGGAGTTGTCAGTAACAAGTGACAAGTCACTAGTCAAACTGCGACGATTTCGATGACGCGGAGGAAGTATATTTTTCACGAAACGAAAAAGTTTAGTTATGACCCTCCCCCACCCAACCACCCACCCCCATGAACGAAAAATATATTGACTTGACAGCTAGAATGAACTTATGTTTCAGCTATCAATATTTGTTCATAACGAAACTCTCCTCAACCCACCCAGCCACGAACGAACCCTTTTCTCTTCGTGAAAAAGATCGATAATTACGGATGGCCCCTAAAAAGAGAATATTATCCTGCGAGGCATGGTTACTACCCCGATCTATTTTCTTTGTAAAAAATTAATTCTCTAGTAGTACTGGCTCTGGCCTGTGTATGTTTGTGTGCGCGTGTTTCTGTATGTGTGTGTGTGTACGAGGCCGAGATTTTCGCCGTCGCCAGGACCTCACTCGCCTCTCGAATTCTTGTTCCCCATGACAAACACTGTCGATCCTTTCAGGACCTGCCATCATGTGCGGATGGGCATTATTGTGTTGTATTGTATTGTATGTGTACTAGCAGCCCTTCCAAAAGAAGCTCGCCATTGTAAAGTTCGATCCTGGAACTTATTGTGAGCACTGACACGAAATCTGTGAGAGCAGTAGCTTTTGACTTTACTTCGTTGGGAACATAAAAAAAGGAGAACAAAGAAATGCGAATCACTGCAGCATATCAGAACTGGATGGAAGGTGCTAGAAGCAGTAGAAAAAGAGGGAGAAGGATGTAGAACCAGATGTGTACGATACATTGAAAAACTAGAGCACAGAGGCTGGGTGATCATGAATGCATGTCATATGTAGGTAAGCCAAACATGGAGTGTGTCATGTGGTGGCACAGCAAGGTACTAGATGACTGTGCAACAAGCAGCATGTACACCAGCACGTGCAACTCTTGTGTAGTACCGGTACATGTAACAGCCACTTTTTCGCTACTTTTTGCTGTTTTGAAAATACGGTATCTTCCGCAACTTCAATCATTTTGGCAAACTACTTCGCCACTTTTCCGCAACCTTTGTTCTAGGTCCGCACACGAAAACCATTTCTGTGAGTGATGTTTAATTGCAGTGGACTGGGTGGAAACCACGTCGATGCCTGGACAATTCTCGCAAGGCACACTTTGGTGAATTGCTATTTAGGCGATTGCCAATTAGGAGAGTGGTTTTTCGACAACAAAGAATTTCTCCGAGTTCTGGTGTTTTGTTCACCTGGTGCCATAATGAATAATACAGTCAAATCTGTCGTAAGCGACTGCCCCTTGGTGCAAGAAAAAGCGGTCTCTTACGGCAGATGTATGGTAAATCCGGCATACCGGGCATTATGCTCTCTCTCTCTCTCTCTCTCTCTCTCTCTCTCTCTCTCTCTCTCTCTCTCTCTCTCTCTCACTCACTCACTCCTTTCTTCCCGGTTGCCGTGCTTGTGACTTTTTTCCCCTGCTGCCGTGCTCATATTAGTTATCTAACTACAGCTGTATCTTCTTCTTGGTTCTGTTTGTCCGCTTATTATTATATTTTCTTTTCTCTTATTATCAGTGGGACCATTGTCATTAGGTTTAGGCCTGTTTTGGAACTCCACTTTAAATAAAGCCAAACAACAACAACAACATGCTTCCATGTACTCAAATCGACGAGAATAATGTGATTTTTAATATCATTTTATTGGATACTAGTATTCAATAGAATATAGGGGTGCACAAACCCAAGAATAGTGCACATACCCGGGCTAATCTGTTTTGTAGCCTACAGGAAGGTTGTTTCACTACAACTGCGTGCGTACATGTACATGTGTACAAAGTCTACGGTAAGTGTGGCGTGCATACCTACGACGACCATGCCCGTATACGTGTATGCGACACGGCAGTAGATCGACACTGCCTGGACTTGAGAGCTACAGCGCAGTCTCAGTACAGGCCAGGGCCAGTCGATCGCACTTGCAAGACAGCGCATTTTACACCTTGCAGTGGACAGCGCACTGGCAAGTAGGCCCCCGTGTAATATGCCGGCATTTCTTTTAGCATTTTCGGTACAATCCGCGGACCCAGCACTTTGGGCTCGTGATGCAGCATTTTGGGGGAAACGGAGCACTTGGCCGTTGTGTATCAAAATTGAGAGAAGAAAAACTTCCCAAACAAGAACGTCACTTCCGCATTCCGTGGTTTAGCTTCTTGTTGAGTAGTTTATGTATTGTTTACCATGGCAGACTAGAGCAAGTCTCTTATTGAGTGTGTTTTGGATGACAGTGATGAAGATGAAGATACTGTAGAGAGCGATTCTTGCAAAAAAGTGAGCATTTTCCGAGCATTTTCGGCAAGGTTTGGAAGCATTTTCGGCATGGTTTACGAGAATTTCCCAAAAGCATTTTCGGCAAAGTTTCGGGCATATTACACCGGGCCCTACTGGCAAGTACAGTTTTGCACCTGACTGAACCTGGGTCGAGGGCGTTTACAGCAGATTTGAATGCAGCCACCGTGCATGAAATAATCGTGGTCGCTGGTCGCGCACAGCAGATGGTCGCTCTGGACAGATCAGTTTGTATGTGAAGCCGTCGGTGCACGGAAAATCGGTCGCTAACGTTAGATGGTCGCCTACAGCAGAGGTCGCTAATGGCAGATTTGACTGTAGTGAAAATGAAAATAAGCAACGTGGAGACAATAATTGAATGAAAGCAATGTCACCTTTTTTTAACGAAGTCTCAAAAGAGTTCATACCAAATATTGAGAACTCAGATGGCGAGCCAAGGAAAAAATTTGTAACATGGAAATTGTGGGCACAAGTTATGCGATAGAGTCCACCAACTAAACCAGATTTTGAACAGTCAGTCGTGCAAAATCTAGCCCACAACTGACAAGGAGTACTGAGACATTCCACTGCATGAAAGTCAGCTTGAGCACTGCCCAATAGCGCTAACCAACGGCCTTCCAACTTGGATATTAGTGCTAATTCCAAAGAGGGGGAGGCGACGCCATCGAGCCGAGCACAAGCTACATTCCAAGGCTTCATGTAATGCTGGCCGGGTATGACGACAGAACGGTCAAACCACAATTCGACAACGCAAAGCGACAACCACCCAACTTGGGAGGCTCAATATTGTCAGAGATGAAAAATATGAAGGGGAAGCTTCACGAGGACGAATTGTAACAAACCGAACGTCGGTATCCTACAGTTCTGTACTTAGTTGATGACAATGAGTTTTGATGGTGAAGAGTTTTGTGCTAGATTGTGCACGTCTGACTGTTCAAAATCTGGTTTAGTTGGTGGACTCGATCGCATAACTTGTGCCCACAATTTCCATGTTACCAAACATGAATTCGATTTTCTTGTCACTCTGTGATCAGTGGATTTTCGTGGCTGAAGAATAATAATACTGTACAGAAGAGCAATCAATTATTATTGGAGTGATACAATTGTACAACAAAAATGATAAAATGAGGAACCTATTAACATTGTGGGGAGATAATAATAATTATGAGCTCTACAATTTCTAATTCTCAAGCTATTCTTCACCATCTTTATAAATAAGGACTCCGAAATTCATGAACCAGTTTTCGGGCATTCTTTTCAAATGAAACACAAGCAACCAGAACCAATGAAATAATAAATTATTTGAAAAGAATGGGCGAAAACTGGTTCATGAATTTCGGTGTCCTTATTGGTGATGATGGGGAAGAATTATTATTATTATTATTAAAAAGCTTCCGTGGAGATAAAAATGTAATCAACGCAATAAATAGAGTAAGCTGCGCACTCAGTACAAACACCATTAGCAAAACTTGTTTTCATGTAAATAACGAAGCTTATTCCTAAACGTTTTCATCGCCATCTCATCAGAGGATTACTGGCAAATCAACAAAAGCTCTTAACTCAATATATATACGCACAATGCAAGTAATAATTTAGACC